TGATTTATTTACTGTATATTGCTGCTGCCACACAGATCTAATGAGATTTATTTCCCAGCTGTTTACCTTCACAGACATAACCGACTGTTTTTGTAACTCATGTGTGTTTTTAACGTAAACTTGTGTGTGAATGAGAACTTAGTTTAGTCCTCACATGCTGTGACAGCCGCTTTCTGTGCGTGTGCTTCGGATGCGTGCTCTCAGAAAACCATATATCAGAAGTTTAAACTCGTATGGTTTAAAAAGAATCTTCTCTGTGTGATAAACATGATAATCAGAACAAAAACAGATGTTTTTAGCAGGTTCAAGCTGTAATGGTGCAGCTCTATTCTGGAAAAGGGGGCGGGGAGCAGCAGCTCATTTGCATTTAAAGAAACAGGCACGAAAAACAGCGTGTTTCTGCTTCCACTCAAAATAGACATTTTCAAATTGATATAATAAATAATCTGTGGAGTATTTTGAGCTGAAACTTCAAAGACACGTTCTGGGGACACCTGAGACTTATATTACATATTGTAAAAAGGGGCATAATATGTCTCCTTTAAAGGCATGTTATAGATCTTATTGTGAACAATTCATCTGTTTGTCTTTTTTTTTACCTCCTAAAAGCCCCTAAAAGTTTGCATTAATCTGCTTCCAGTTTTTGAGAGTGCAATGCCCACATCTCAACATCCAGTTAACAACCGATACACAAAACCGAGTCCTGCCCAACATGTTTTTTTTTTGTTTTTTTAATAATCTGTTACATTTGCATGTATGTCACAATATAGAAGAACAGATCCAAAGGGTATTTTGATTTGAAAGGACATGATTTGAAATCAAGCGTATAATTCATGTTATGTTAATGTTAGAGTAATATGATTAATGATTCACATTCTGTGATTGATGTCAAATCTGTCCTCACAGATCCTCATTCTGGACCAATTCACCACGCGCCTCCTCTCCTCCTGCTGCAAAATGTCCAATCTCATGTCGGAGGGCATCACAAGTAAGTGAGAGAAGAGATTTCGCTCCAGTTCTGTTGAACATCGTGTGTGTTAGACAGAAGTCTGCAGGTTCAGTGTTTGAACTTCATTGTGTAGCGAGAGTCGGACGCTCTTCCTTCCTGTGTTTTCCAGAGGGGAAGCTTTTTGTTTCCTCCATATCGAGTAAAAGAATGCACATGTGCTGGATGGGGAGTTATTGTCATAACGTGTTACCTCTCGTTTGTTCACAGTTGTGGAGGACCTGCACAAAAACAGAGAGCCAGTTCCAGAGATGAAGGCCATCTATTTCATGAGACCCACTGCCATGGTCGGTCAGAGCTCAGAAGACACAAATAATACGCATAACATCTCTTACTTTACTGTGATGATCTGCTTGTGACCTGGATGTTTTATATTTGCAGTGCGTTGATGCATTTATTAATGACTTCAAACTGAAACCCAAATACAAAGCTGCATATGTCTTCTTCACTGACTGTGAGTCGATTGTTCCAAATACCAAATAGATTGCTTGTTATTTTCAGCAAAAGTGACATTTTTATTACTTTTATATCAAAATGGCCACAGACTGTCCTGATGATCTCTTCGACAAGATGAAGAAGAACTGTGCCAAGCACATTAAAGTGTGTAAAGAGATCAACGTCTCGTTTCTGCCACTGGAAGCACAGGTGAGTGTAGTTTCATTTAGCCTGTTATGGCTGAGTATTGTGTTGTTAATGACTGTGTGTGTGTTGTATGGGTGACCTGTACAGGTGTTCACCTGTGAAAACACAGAGGCCTTCAAGAGCATCTACACTCCGAACAGTCAGGACAGAGATCAGACGCTGGAGACGATAGCGAATCAGATCGTAACTCTCTGCGCCACGCTGGACGAGTATCCTGGAGTCAGATACAAGAAGTAAAGTCAGCCCGCTCTTACTCACTTTACATGTGCTGAAGTTACACCTGATGCTTGAATGGATATTTAATCTAGGTTTCGGTAATGAATTCTCTCTTCAATGCAGGGATTCTGCTCTTGATTATGGAAACAAGTTGGCTGAACTTGTGGATAATAAACTGGCACGACATTACGAGTTGGATGATAATTCGAAGAAAAAGGTGGGAGCTGTTGAGTGTTTACAACAACCTCACATGACAGCGTGTCTCATTGATATGGTGGGATTTAGAGCTAGACAATATAGCTTTTTCTTAACATACACTGATGTTCAGAAGTTTGGGGGGTATGTTTTTTTTTAATACTGTTATTCAGCAAGGATGCATTTAATTGATTAAGAGATCTATACAAAAGATTTGTGTTTTATATAAATGCTGTCTATTTGAACTTTCAGTTAATCAAAGAATCTTGTAAAAATAAACAATTCCACAGATTTTAAGCTGGACCACTGTTTTCATCATTGACAATAATAATACATGTTTCTTGAGCAGCAAATCAGCATATTAGAATGATTTCTGAAGATCATGTGACACTGAAGACTGGAGTAATGATGCTGAAAATTCAGCTTTGATCACAGGAATAAATTACATTTTACAATATGTTCAAATAGAAAACACTTATTTTAAATTGTAATAATATATCTATAATATTTCTGTTTTTGCTGTATTTCAGATCAAATAAATGTAGCCTTGGTGAGCAGAGACAGAGACTTTAATCATAAAAAAAAAATCTTACTGACCCCAAATTTTGAACGATAGTGTATTTCAGTCTTTTGACAATATTTGTGAATGTATTTATTTGCTCTGAAATGGCTAAGCAACTATGTCTGTTTGGTTGAAATGAAAGTCTAAGTAAACTCAAATGTTTAAAGCATGAAGTAAAATGCACACCACTTGTTCCGTGCCTTCAATTCCATGAAGATTTTTAAGGATTGATGACAATCCATCAGAATTCTGAATCGATTTCATTGGATAAGACCGTTCGAAAGAACTGATTCATGAAAATAGAATTGCTAGCTCTATAAGCCTAAGTTTTGTAGGAAAAGCCCTAGTAGGATTGGTGAATAAGATCATGTACTCCCTGAGGCTTTTTTTACCTATAATGTTTGTAATCTTGTTCTTTTCCTGATGTTGTCTTAAAAGTGATATTTCTGCTTGCACAAAACTGCCTCTTCAGTGTTTTCCTTTCATATTCAGGGAAAAACGCAGGCTCAGCTTCTGATTGTTGATCGTGCACTGGACCCTGTCAGCCCTATTCTTCATGAGCTCACCTACCAGGCCATGGCTTATGACCTCATACCAATAAAGGACAACAACTATGAGTATGACACCTCAACTTACTCTCAGCCAAATCACTTGATTTCTATTTACTTTACCAGGCATCCTTGCTATTATTTTGGTTCTGCTGTGTATTGGTGTTTTTCTGTGTTTTCTCTTAGGTATAAGTTAAATGATGGCTCTAAGAAAGAAGCTTTACTGAATGAAGAGGATGAATTATGGGTCAAATTGCGTCACATGCACATTGCTGAGGTCACTGGGTGAGTAGAATTACTTGTTCATGTGAGTTTAATCTCCACAATCTGGCACACAAACATTGGGGTGGTCAGTTTTCTTTAAGTTGAACTCTGTGTCAGTACTTTTCTGCATTCAGAAAATACACTACAGTTCAAAAGTTTGGGGTTTTATGTTTTTGAAAAGAGGTCTCTTCTGCTCATAAAGGCTGCATGTATTTGATCAAAAATACAGTAAAAACTAATAGTATGAATAGGGCTGGGCGATATGGCAAAAAAAAATCACGATACAATATTTCATATCAGTCTATATCCATAATTATGATAAATTTCAAATCAGTATTTCTTTCGAGTTTAAAGGCAGATTTTTTTTCTCCTAAGTGAAAGTTGTAGAAATCAGATTAATCATTAATTGTGGTTTTAAACGACTCTTTAATGGTCAGAGCATGACAAACATGTAAACATTTCTAATGAGTGATATTGTTTCAAATCATGAAACAGGTTTGTGTTGTCTGACTTTGGCACATATCTTCAGCACAGTTTGCAGTGCAGGCTGCAATGTTAATATAAAAAAAAAAACGTCTCTTAGAAATGCACGTTTGACAGTAGATTGAGTTGACAGTAGTAGCTTGAGTGTTAAGATGCAGATGTAAATTTATGTTCATTATCAAAAACAGTAACATCTGTAAAAATGGTAACAACCTCATTTTTATATGGTGAAATATAACTGTTTGATTAAAATTAACCATTGGTCGTCCATAGCGATTTGTAGATTGACAAGCTTCCTGACTGTATCATTGCTCAGTATTTCTCCTGTTTGTCAGCGCTGTTTCATCGGGCTTTAAACTAGTTTAAATCACAGCGTAAAGCGTTGTTTAGTGTGGCGTGACCGAGACTCATCAGCGAGTAACGCATCTGCTCTAGTGAGCTCGCGCTGCGCTGCTGCTTGAACTTTGAGTCGAGTGGATCAATGCTCTGTGTGCCGCGATTCAGATGAGGAGCGCCGTTTCCTTCCTCTTTTGGTGCATAAACACTATATCGAACATTAATCAAACTCTTGTTATCGTTTTGAGGAAAATTATATCACAATAATTATCGTTTTATCGCCCAGCGCGAATTATGAAATATTATTGCAATTTCAAATAAGTGTTTTCTATGTGAATATATTGTTAAATGTAATTTATTCCTGTGATCAAAGCTAAATTTTCAGCATCATTACTCCAGTCTTCAGTGTCACATGATCTTCAGAAATCATTCAATATGATGATTTGCTGCTCAAGAAACATTTCTGATTATTATCAATGCTGAAAACGGTTGTGCTGCTTCATATTTTGAGAAACGGTGATATAATTATTTCTGGATTCTTTGATCATTAAAAAGTTCAGAAGAACAGCATTTATTTGAAACAGAAAGTGCGTGTACACTTTGCTTATTACACACACAGGGAAGTGCAGCAGAACACAAACATTTTTAAAAATTAAAGGATTCAATTGTAAAAGATTATTATTATTGTGTACATAAAAATAAAAATGCCCACATATCATAATGGATAATCTTTGCATGTTTCAGAATTACGCGCACGAGCAGATCTGTTCCCTCGAGAGAGAAGCGTTCAGTTTTTCCGCTTGTAAATAGTGAATCCGCCATGGCGCGAGCGCAACTGGCTTTTAAATGGAATGGGAGATGATAATCTGATTGGTTTATGGCACGTTACTACCAAAACACACCCATTACTCATTAAGAGAATAGGTACAACCATTTTAGACCATGCTCTGGGCACGCCGACCATTTTTCCCATCCTTAAACTAGGAAAAGTGGATTCAGACTAAGCACAATTGTTGATCAATTGATCGTTATGTTAAAATAGGGCACAATGACTGTAACCCATCTGAAATTAACGGTGGTAACTGCGCAGTAAGCACATTCAATACAAAAAAAGATGGTATTGGCATTTAGCATTAGCATTTAGCTTTTGTTTTTAAATTGAATTGGCTGTTGGCTAAATTAGTGCCCAAAGTAGCACAATGACCATATCCCAAGTATCAAAACTCAAAATATGTAATTTCCATACCTAAAATATATATTTTACAGTCACTGTTATGCATATTGATCATAAACACAGCTAAAATGCTTCCTACCAGTGGCCCTCCTTCACAAAACTTAACATCTAGTACAGTTTTATGTTTTTTTTTTTTAATGCAAAATGTTTCAATAGACAAGCATTTCAGTCAAATGTAATTTAAGCAACATTTCAAACCTTTAACCCACGGGGGAAAATCATGCCATAGCAACAGTTTAAAGTAGCCCAGTTCCATGGAAAAAACGCAGACTTGACAACCCTGCATCCAACACGAGCTGCAGGAGTCAGGTTTGACTGATGAGAGGAGAGATGATTGACAAGATCATGCTGGAGGATTTGCTGCTCAACAGATCCTGAGCTCATTGACAAATATCTGATCTCGTAAGATGTGCTCCCTTTACACAGAGTGCACATGATCGCAAAAGTGAACAGCGAGCGCTTATTCAAAAGAGATTTAAATACTCTGCATATTGATAGCGGCTCCCTGATGTGAGAAAATTATATGCCATATATCAGGGAGTCTCCAGCCTTATTTCATTCGGGAGCTACTTTTTAAAAACTAAAGCGGCTGAGAGCTACCAATGTTATACAGTACTTGAATCTCTTAAATATCAATCTAAACTGTTATACACGGCATTGTTCAAATGTGCTGGAAATATTTAAAAAGTACTGATACACACGCTGAAATCATTTTACCAAGTTTTATGACAGAAGCCAAGAAATAAAATTAGCAGCACTATGCACTTATTGTTTGCATAAGCAGTGAAATAAAAACATAAAAAAATGATGGCCGGATTTTAAACTAACAAACAATATTCATAACATGTTATCTACTGACATGTACTATATGTTCAAATAAAGTTTTGACCATTTTTAAAAAATAAAATTATAATGTTTCAGCCTTAAAATATTTTTTTCAATAAAAAAAGATGTCAGAATGATAAATAAAGAAAAAAGATCTACTCCATAAACAGTTCTACATAAGCTCATGTGCATTCTAAAAATCTCAACACCTCTGATAACAAGCCTATTTTCCATCGATCGGTTGAGATTTACAACAAAAATCTGGTCTGATTTTTGCATTGGTCTGAACAAAAGTATGGCAGACCGACTGAATGAATTTGTAAATCCACAGTTTGACAGCAGGTGGCGCTTATGAACAGCATAATAGATCTGTTTCTACAGTAACCTCTGTAAACAAAGCTGGGCTTCTAAACACTAGGGATGGGCGATACCACTTATTTTGTTTTCGATACGATACCGATTTTTCAAGGCAGTATCGTCGATATCGATACCGATTCGATACTTCTGAACAACTTTTAAATTATGAAATTTATTAAATTACTAAGAGTAAAATGGGTAATAAGCGCTTAATTTTGTTTAAAACCCTTTTTAACATTCAATACGCCTTAATTGTAACTTATTAGGTTATATTTTTGTGTACACATGGTTCAAATATGTTTTTTGTTTACACGTGATTCAAATCTACAAATACTGCAGTTGAACTACGGTCACTTTAGTAAAACCATGGTTCATTATCATTAGGGACTGCCAGTGACAGGTTGTGCATAAAATGCAACATTTTTATTCTGACAGTGTATGATTTCTACTAACATTACAGAATAGAACATGATCAGTATTATCTTTCAACGTTCAATTTAAATAACTGTAATTGCACAAACGATGAAGGCTACAATTTCAGTTTGTTTATTGTGAAATAACTCTGTCCTCTGATAAGCACTGTTCAGGGCTGCCGTTCCCAAAAGCTTTAATGCTTTCTTATGATACTTTTGGGAAACGCAGCCCTGTTTGAATGCGCTGTCAGCAGTGAGTGAACGCTCTCTGTGATGGATTGGTTCTGTCTTGCAACATTTGCGAGTGTTCAGATGAGCAGGAAAATAGTTCTATCCTACACAATTACTCGCTAACGAAGGTTATTCGTCCCATTAAATGCATATTGTACACATTATAATTTTGTTTGTTAAATTAACAAAATCACTGGTAAATAAAACACACCTTAGTATCGATATTTTTTGTTTGAGTATCGATACTTTCAATACTCGCGTCAGTATCGATATATCGATACTTTGGATCAATGCGCCCATCCCTACTAAACACTGCTTTATTACACATTACACGGAGGGAAGATGGATAGAAAATGCCATCGAAACTTTTCTGAAGACAGTCAGTTTCCTATTATGCATTCATACAAATAATTAAATCATACATGCATTCTTTCCCTCAGCACTCTGCTTTCAATCATGTTTTCACACAAAACGAAACTAGTACTCTGCATGTTGCGTCTGTGTGAGACTCTTATAATAATAACTTTGACTAAAGCTGAGCAGTATTTAAGGTGCGTTTTTCAAATCGCGATAATCAAATACAGGTTTAATGATAATTAAAATATGAAACGGGATAATTAAAATAACCTCACGGCCGATATGTCAAGTATGTCTTGGCGAGCTACCTCCAATCAGGCCACGAGCTACTGGTAGCTTGCGAGCAACGTTTTGGAGACCCCTGCCATATATGTTTGCGGGAGCCGGATTCAGAAAACCGATTTCGAAATACTTCCACACAAATTACATGTTCGCGAATGATTCCAATGTAGTGCGCACTTCTGGAAAAATCGGCCGAAAAAAATAAAAAAATAAACGTCCGGTTGCCGATCGCGTGTTAGCAAAAACCGTCCGGTTCTGATTTATGGCCGGTCAACCGGTGCATCCCAAATTATAAATGTTATTTGCCATCACTCTGAACAAGTTAATGCATCCTTGATGAATACATGTATTAATTTCTTTCAAAAAAGAAAAAAAATCACACTTACCCCAAACTCCTTTCTCCTCCTTGGAGTTTGCTGCAGTGCATTATGGGATCGCCTTATCCACAAAAGTTAAATGCATTGTAGCTTTGGTATTTGCCAAATGGGGGTTTATTCGCAACAAACTTCTGTATTCTGTAAAACAAGCAGATGAGGTGTTAGGCATAAAGCCTATTATCTTCATAAATATCCTTGTTAATGTAATCAGCACTATTGTATTTATTTAATCCAAAGGCAAATCCCCAAACTGGTGAAGGAAATCTCTGCCAACAGAGATGAGAAGAAACAGGCTGATGGGAAGGTACAGTATATTTTTACAATTAATTACACCTCCAAACAATAACGGAGTGTCCAGTTGCAGATTCCCTCATATGAGTATGTCATAGATGCCCCTGTCATTGGCAGATCACAATCGGAGGCCTATCCCAGCTCATGAAGAAGATGCCAGGCTTCCGCAAGCAGATGACTCAGGTAATCGAGCCGCCTCACATGTCCTGAAAGAGTGTGCTATCTCATGTCACCTGTGACTGTGAAAGTTCACGTTTAGTCTGCCTATACATTCAGTAGTGATGGTCGAGGCTGCCTAAAATACTCACGTGCAATTTAATGTTTCCCATTTTTCTCCCTCAGAAAACTGTCCACGTTAGTTTAGCTGAGGATCTGATGAGTCATTTCCAGAAGAATGTGGAAAAACTCTGCAAAGCCGAACAGGTAAATCTTAGTGATGTCTCGAGGGAAAGGACACCTTCATCTGTCCAGTGTGTCTCACGTAGGATTGGGTTTCGTTCAAAAATTTTCGATACCGATACCTTGACTCCGATACCGGTTCCTGAACGATACTTTTTCCGATACCAATTTTATGAAATCTGTTTTAACAAAATTACATTACACATTACCTAAAAAAAGCTATTTTTTTAGCTTGTTGACGTTTTTACAGACTCAAACTCATCTCCTGAGCCACTGCACAAGACGGATGATTCTCAGACAGAATCCTCATTTCTATTTATTTTCCACTGATTTACTGATGAGCAGCTGCTTCCAGTGCTGTCTGCCTGTGTTTTCTCTTCCACGATCGCTGTTCTGAATCATTCGCTGCTCATGTCAATCATATTACACGTTCATAACCAGCCCTGTCTCTGATGACGAACATCCATTACACTGCCGCGTTTGGTTCTGTACATAAGAAACCCAGAAAAACATTTCTACGGATGAAACATGAACATAAACACACTGTTACGACAGTATATGATTTATGGCATTTTAATGAGATTCTGCCTATTTTCATAACAATACAGAGTGTTTACATGAGAAAAGCTAAGCAGGTGTAGAGATTAGCCTGATACAAGCTACAAATAACATTTCAGCAACATTATGTGGCCAAAACACATTAGATCGCGATCAGAAGTTATTACATGATGGTGGTTTTCGGTCGTGTAACGTTAGTGTGGACTGAGATCTTTTCTGAAACGGAACATTAGTGGAAACGCCAGTTTGGATGAAGAACGCTTTCATTTTAAAAAGCTGTTTTAAAGGGGTCATATGATGAGATTTAAATTTTTCCTTTCTCTTTTGAGTGTTACAAGCTCTTGGTGCATAAAGAAGATCTGAAAAGTTGCAAAGACTAAAGTCTCAAATCCAAAGAGATATTCTTTATAAAAGTTAAGAGTCAACCATGCCCCCCTAAAACGGCTCGTTCTAACACGCCCCCACCCCACAGTGACGTAGACATGTGGGGGTGTGTTTAAACGAGGCGTTTTAAGGGGGCGTGGACGAGTCTTAACTTTTATAAAGAACATCTCTGGGTTTGAGACTTTAGTCTTTGCAACTTTGGATCTTATCTATTCACGAACAGCTTGTAACACTCCAAAGAGAAAGGAAAACTTGAAATCGCATCATATGACCCCTTTAACACCTATCGGTCTGCGCAGCGCCGGCTTCAAGTTGAACACACCTCTTGATTAACCCCTTAGGTATCGAAATTTGGTACCGAATGACAAGACATTTTTCGATAGTATCGAGGCAATTCGGTCGGTGCCTAAAAAGCATCAAACTCGATACCTAGCCCTAGTCTCACGTGGTCTTTTTGTGTGTCTGATTTTGTGCTTTGTATGTAGGATCTGGCTGTAGGTGCAGATGCTGAAGGACAGAAGGTCAAGGACCCCATGAGGACGTTACTTCCTGTGCTGTTACACCCACATGACACCACTGATAAGATCCGGGCCGTCCTACTCTACATCTTCAGTCTAAACGGTGGATATTTCTCTTTTCTTGTCATGTTGAGATTGGGAAGCATCTTAACTGTCCAGCTCAGTATGTTTTCCTGCTGGATGAGTGCAGCTGAATGTGTGTTTGTGTGTAATGAGCAGGAACGACAGCGGAGAACCTGAATAAACTGATTCAGCATGTGAAAATCGAGGATGAGAGCGGGTATATCCTGAACTGGAAACATCTGGGAGTTCCCATCCTCTCCACGGTGAGTCTGCAGATGCTTGCTTTCTCCTCTGGCACTGCTTCGTTTCCTGTTGATATTGCATAATTCACTCATACTGGTGACTTATTATTTGGTTTTGATGCGTTCTGAATTGCGGTTTAATATCTTGGAATGTATTTGGGAATAGGGAAGTGCTGTAGGTTTATTGAGTTATTACAGTTCCAAAGTTTTAGTATACATACAAACAAACTTTCATGACACTCAATGGCAGTTTCTAAACCACAGCAAAAGCTAATTTTATTGTTGATTCTTGCGTGTTGATTTTTTAGTTCTGATTGGATGCAATACAACTGCAATTTTACAGGGATTTATTTTTGATGATATTAATTTTTTCACCTCCATCTCTCTTCATAACAGCCGAGCATGTTGTCGTTCCGTAAACAACCTCGGAAAGACCGGTCAGACAAGGAGACTTACAACGTGTCTCGCTGGACACCCGTCATTAAAGACATAATGGAGGTGAGAGACACATGTCAGTCACCACAACAGTCACGGTGTTACAAAGCAAACTATCTAAAGCACAGATAGACAAACATATGCAGGGCTCAACAGTAAAGACTTTTTTCTGCTTTAAATGATCACTTTTTTGTCCATGACTTTTTTTTCTGTTTACACTAAAATTCAAAAGATTTTTAAAAATATTTTTGAAAGAAGTCTCTTCTGCTCACCAAGGATGCAAGGATGTATTTTTTTAAAAAAAAAAAAAAAAAAAAAAAAAAAATATATATATATATATATATATATATATATATATTGTAAAATATAATTATTACAATTTAAAAAACAGTGTTCTATTTGAATGTTTTAAATTTTTTTTAGCTGCCATTACTCAGAGTATGAAATAAAAATAGAAACTTACTGAGCCCAAAACCTTTTCAATGGTAGTGTATTTTATATATAATTCTTTCCAGTTCTTTATCGATTGACACCACTATTTTTATTATATTGTATGTATGATATTATGTTGTTGAATGTTTAATTTGTATAATAGCCAATGAAACTGAAATGGCAATACATTTAAATACAACCAACCAATCTTTTTCTGACAACAATATTTTGACAACAAATTGAAATTTCAATGAGTTGAAAATTATAGAGCTATAATGTAACTATAAATTTATATACTGGAAAACAAAATATTAAGTTTGCAAGACAAAAAATATGGATGTACAAGTAACAATACATTTAAAACTATCCCCAAAAGGCAAGTAACTAACTATCCTGACACGCTCTCACACTGCCCTTGGGCTAGCAGCCATCCTTATTGTTGAGCCCTGATATACAGGTGCATCTCAATAAATTAGAATGTCGTGGAAAAGTTCATTTATTTCAGTAATTCAACTCAAATTGTGAAACTCGTGTATTAAATAAATTCCCTGCACACAGACTGAAGTAGTTTAAGTCTTTGGTTCTTTTAATTGAGATGATTTTGGCTCACATTTAACAAAAACCCACCAATTCACTATCTCAACAAATTAGAATACTTCATAAGACCAATAAAAAAAACATTTTTAGTGAATTGTTGGCCTTCTGGAAAGTATGTTCATTTACTGTACATGTACTCAATACTTGGTAGGAGCTCCTTTTGCTTTAATTACTGCCTCAATTCGGCGTGGCATGGAGGTGATCAGTTTGTGGCACTGCTGAGGTGGTATGGAAGCCCAGGTTTCTTTGACAGTGGCCTTCAGCTCATCTGCATTTTTTGGTCTCTTGTTTCTCATTTTCCTCTTGACAATATGTGTGTGTGTGTGTGTGTGTGGTAGGATGCAGTGGAGAACAAACTGGAGGTTAAAGACTGGCCGTATCAATCTGAATGTCCGTCTGCGTGGAACGGCTCTCGTGCTGTAAGGTAGGGCCGGCGAGACCTCACTCTATTCAGTTACAGTTAAGTCTCTTACATAATTCATGGTAGCTCATCCATCAGTTTAAAACAATAAATCCCGAATGTTTCATTATAATTGTTGAGTGTAAAGTTGTAGTCAATGTCTCTCTCTTCATTCCTCTGGCTGTCAGAGTGGTGAGGTAAGACTGAAGAGCGGCCCTTTGGGGCTGTTGGCTGCTTTTTCTGTGTGCTCATACACTATTACACGTTTCATTTCTTTGTGTTTCTTTATTTCAAGTGCTTTTTTGTTTTTTTATAATATGGGCCTACCTAAAGTTTAAAGGCTTCTCATTTCCCACTGATGATCTAATTGCATGATGAAATAGATCATAGAGTACTGTTCGAAGGTTTGGGGTCAGAAAGATAGATAGATAGCTACATAGATAGATCTAATGGCTATTATTTTACCAATATAAGAATCTTAAGCAAATTTATAGCAGGCTTATGTAATGTGCTGTAATGTAATTTATTTTCAGATGCAGAGATTGTTTCCAAGTATTAATTGCCAAGCAGTTTTTAAAATTGATTATAAACCATTTCAAATATATTAACCATTAACCAATAAAATATTTGTTTATTATTTGATTTTTATTATTGTGAAAGAGAAATATTTTTAAATAACATTTTCTATAAAAAAACTGTATTACAGTTGAAGCATCGCAACTGTTTTCAACATTGATAATAATAAACATGTTATTTTATACAATTTATTTTATTTTTATTGCATTATTTCATTTTATTTTAGCAAATCAGCATATTAGAATGCTTTCTGAAGGAGCATGTGACACTGAAGACTGGAGTAGCTCAGCTTTGATCACAGAAAATAAATGACTTCTTAAAATACATTAACATAGAAAACAGCTATTTTAAATTGTAATAAAATTTCACAATATTACGGTTTTTATTATTATAATTTTTTTTAGTCAAATAAATGCAGCCATGGTGAGCAATAGAGATTTCTTTCAAAAAATAAAAAATAAATCTTACGACCCCAAACTTGTGAGCAGTGATTTAACGTGTCCTTACATGGATTGGGTCTGTTTCCTGTCAGTGCGCGGCAGAAGCACAAGGGCAGTTCTCCGGATGATCTCAGGAGCGGCTCGCGGCTCATCCTCTTTGTTCTGGGTGGGGTCAGTTACTCAGAAATGCGCTGTGCTTATGAAGTCACGCATGCTAATAAATCCTGCGAGGTTATCATTGGTAAGAGTCCATACGAGTGCTAAGCTAACAACATGATTCAGTAAACCTGAAAAGAGGCTTAAAATGCTGCCTGTGTTTTGAAATGCAGTCCGATTCAAATGCCTTTTGAATTGTCTGTAGGCTCGACACACATCCTCACTCCACGTGGTCTGCTGGAGGACATTTATAAATTGGACAAATAACCCATGGAAAGCTTTAACATTGAGGAGGACAAACCCTGAACAGCCCTGCCCTGCCATTTCCTCCTCCGGACTGAAGGGAACAGATCTCCGCTGCTTTCCACCTCACAGCATTCACTTAAAAGCTTATTACAAGAAAAACAAAAAACAATAGTTCTGCATGGAACATTTTGAGGTCATTTCATGTCTTAAAGTCTCAGTTGTGCTCAATTTAGGTTATACGTAACAGTAACTCTTCACAACTAACTTCAACTTTGAGCTATTTAGGCTTTTTAAATTGTTAACTTTATAAAATCGTGAAAATTATAACATTATCTTTTAATATGCATCATGATTAAAAACTTAAGTAAGACCCAATTGGTTTGATAACCCTTTAATGCAATAGAAGGACTTTTAAAAAGAGATCAGCTTGTGACCAGAGCCTTACAAACTGGTGCCTTTTATTTACCAGTGAAAGCGAAATGCTTGCACTGGATTTTCAGTAACATTTTTTTTTGTATTTCTATCTCACACTAACAGTAGTTATTTGCAAAATCCACTTGAAATTTGAAAATATGTTTTGATGATTTGTTTGTGAATTAGGTTGATTTGTACATATGCATTTTGTGCTGCTTTAGTGTTTTGCTTGTATAAAACATTAACTGAAGAATGAGCAAATGAGGGATTTAACCGATTTAATGCATACTTATTGAACAACTGACAACTTGAATGACGTGGTTCAATTATGTTTGGTTTGTAATGTTTGTAATGTGGTCTGTCTAATGTCAACTGTACTTCATAAAAAATATATTGGCTCTATTTATGATTTCATGGATTTTGTCCTGTGGACGGTGACCCCTGTTGTGTATACATTTTTGAAGAAAATGCAAGAGGGGATTTTTATGCAGGCATGTTACAAGCTGTTTGTTGATGTCCAGTGAGCTTTTTCGAGACATTAAGCTATGAAATTCCTGCTTGAGTAAAAAAAAAATCAAAACAGACTGCACAAATGTAACAAGATAGTCTTATTTTTTTTTCAGAATGTGCCTCATAGGAGAAGGGGAGAGGTTGTTCGCCTGAGGCACATAAGAGGTGTTATTCTGCTGTCTCTGATTACTGCAGATCTGTGGTCTCGGGTCAGAACAATAACCAAAATAACCCTCTCAGAGGACCTGATAATACGGAGTAATCTAATCTTATCAAATTTGTCCTATTTTGGGACTTCATGTAAGGTGTGAAAGCGTGGACGTGCGTGCTGAGCATCTGAATGCATACTGTACGAAAGCTTGTATACATTTACACAGCTCTATCTGACAGAAAACTGATACGACCTTTATTTGTGGGAACAAATAGATGACACTAGAACATTTAAACATTTCTGCAACCTAGAGTATGTATGTATATACATATATATATATACTCTGGTCCTTGGCAGGTCTTAAAATTTGGACAATTAAACCTCAAATGAGCAACAACACATGACATATCACACTCTGTCATTATTTATTTAACAATAAAAGGCCAAAATGGAAAAGCAATGTGTGACAAACCAAGGACACCCTTACTGTTAACATGGGAATTAAGAGGGTAAATAACGGTCAGGAACTGCTAATCAAATACCTTTGATTAACTGATCATCAGCAAGTGTGAGCAGCTCTATAAAAGCAGAAGTTTTGTCAGTTTGCTGGTCTGGAGTCATCAGGTGTGTGTTAACACAATACCAAAGAGGAAAGACATCAGCAAGGATCTTACAGAAGCAATTGTTGCTGCCATCAATCTGGGAAGGAAACTTTGTGAAATAACTTTGCTAAAGCATTGTCTGTTTTCTTGCAGTGTAATGTCTTAAAATGTCTTACATTTTACAATATTAATCCTTAAAGGTCAAATAGTCAAAAATACAATCGATCGGGTCTTAATAACAAGAAACGTTAGCATGTTATCTCAGCCATACTGATCTCTAGAAAGAAATGTACATTTCTCATACATGTCGGCACATTCTTACAACCCTAATTTTATGTTTTAAAACAATTTATAAGTAAACTGTTTGTATTTCTTGAAGCTGTTTCCTCAGTGATGGTTTTGCAAGATTGAACCTTATAATTCAAAGTGGAAAATGACTTTTTTTAGAATTAGAAGGTTCTATCTGCATTTGACCTGTTCCAAAAATCCCCATTTACAAATCAGAGAGGATTTTGATATTGTACATTCAGAATGCGTTTAGGGTCTCTGTCATGTTCATGTTTTAAAGAGACTTGTTCCCCATATCACTTTTTCTATATGGAATGCAAAAACTTTGAAGCTCACTTTCTCATAACCGCTCAGAATGAAGATGATAGAACCTTATAATTCCAAGGTGGTGAAATGTTGTCAGCGAGGAAACTGCTCTGTTGTTTCAGGTGCTTTTAATCCTTTGCTGTAAAATGTGAAACTGTGACTGTTTTTTTGTATTATTTGTACACTGGCGCGTGGGAATCGATGATTGTTTAATAAAACTCAGAATTTAATCTAGTGAAGCATAACATTGTTTTTCTGTGTGTTAGGTTTTATTTTGACAGGCCTCTCGACCTGTTCAACCAGTTTTTGTTTTTTTTAATTCAACATGCAGCTCTTGTTAAATTAACCTAAATAAAGTATAGTGTTTCAGGATGCTTTTCTTCCCTGGTATTTTTTTTAACACTAATTACATTAAAATGTTGCAACCTGTGGTTATGTTACTAAATACATTAATATTTGTATTTACGTATATACATGTGCATTTAATGTAAATGCACTAGCATTTCATCTTTTTTAAGATTTTGAGGCTTTTTAAATGATCCGAGAAATCACAACTTTCATTAAACCAAACTTTGCACATAATTTGCTATGCAGTATGTAATTATTTGTAATTACACAGATACAATGTAAAATGTTTGTAAAGGAGTATTTCAGCTTTATACAGTGTCTATTTATTAGATGTATTTTGGGGGTAAATTGTGATTTAAAAAATGTTAAGAACAACAAGTTTTCCTAAGAATCTCGTATCTTTTTACTCTATTTACATATTCAGTAAATAATTTTTACTCTGTTTACCTGTAGTTTTGATGAGGATGCTAACAAAATGAGTCACTGCTTGGAAAAGAAAAGATACTCGGCTTTGAGAAAACCTTTCTGGATTTTTTTTTTTTAGATGTTTATTTACCAGCTATATCTATTGTTCCTCTTTCCATAAAATGATGTGCACTGTAATGTCATCTACTTTTAAAAAACATAAAGGACTTTATTGTGCCAAACCTGTCTTCTTTAGGATATGATACACTCAAACCATAGAGTATATGGTTCAATAGAAATTCAGTGGGAAATGTTCTTATCAGAGGACAAACATGAATGGATGAGAAAGAGGAGGCACACATACTTTCAGGATGAAACCCGAGGTCCCGTCTGTGATGTGGGTTCATCTGGCTTGGCTTCATTTCTGTAGTGATCCAGTAACTGATCAGTCCTTGATTACTTCCTCCAGATGTATGCTATAAATCTGACATCATGATATATTACCTTTACATACAGATGTAAAAGCCCAATACAATGACACTGTTGTGTTTCTCTGGTGCCACCCACAGACTGCACATACTGTAATATCTTAAAACATGACTACTCACTAAAAGAATTCAGTAGGCTACTCTTATTCTGCACAAGTAATAGAAGAATGCAACCTGACAATGTAGTTTGGCTTTAATTTCAGATGTTAAAACTAAATTAAACAAGGAACATTTCCATTTTTATCTTGTCATAATTTGCATTAGCATGCTAATATATCAAAGCTTTGCTTCACATCAAATATTTTGTATCATTGCATCATATCTTTCAAAATTGTATTTATTTATTTATAATTTATTATTATACAGTCATGTGAAAAAGAAGGTCATCCCATGGTTTTCCGTATCGGGACATAATATAAAATCATCTGGTCCTTGGCAGGGCTTAAAATTTGGAAATAAAACCTCAGATGAATAACAACACATGACATATCACATTCTGTCATTATTTATTTAACAAAAACTAGGCCAAAATGGAAAATCCATGTGTGACAAACTAAGGACACCCTTACTGTTAATACAGGGGTTAAAGCAAAAAAAAAAATATTTTGACTGAAATTTTTTCCTCAGCCAAACCCCATTCCACAGCCATACCTGTCACACGCCCAGTTTAAGAGCAGTTGTTTCTTGTCATTAGGAGCACTTGTCCTTCTAATTAAAAAAATTTAGGAGCACCTTCTGATCAATAATAAAACATTCTGATCAAAAATTACCCTTCCTAATATGAGGTGACATTTGACTCAAAGTGATTTACAAGGGCATTTTCTTTTTGCCTTTGTAATGGCATTTTTCTAATTTTATTAAATGCATGCAGTGTTTCCTAGGATTTTTTCCAGCTGTGATGGCAGGACTATTTCCCATGGACCACGCCCCCTCCCCAGTTATTTTAACTAAAAAAGACAAGTAAATAGTAAATAATAAAATAAGAACAAATAAATTAATGACAATCAATAGCACAAACAAAAACAATAACAAGATACAAATTAAATTAACAGTACTTAAATTTTTTCCAGTTAGGTCTAACTATAATCTATGCAACTGTAAAATAACACTGGTTAGTCTTCACTGTATACTGAAAGGCAGCAGGAGGTTTATTTAGGCTGCTGTCTCTTTTAGACCTCATGCGCCGATGTAATATACTATTACACATGGCTCTATGCTTACTTTTCTTTTTAGGAGCTCTTGTCCTCCTAATTAAAAAAATTTAGGAGCACCTTCTGATTAATAATCAAAAATTCTGATCAAAAATTATCCTTCCTAATATGAGGTGACATTTGACTCAAATGACTTACAGGGGTATGTTCATCATTTTCATCTGTCAAATTCAAAAATGTATGTTTATAAAACAATATAATAAGAAGTAGAATAAGACAAATAAGTTACCAATCATATGAAATTAGTATTAATATAAAATGTATTTGTACTACAGAGGTGGCACAGAAGAACACAAAAGTGGCTTGTAGGTACATTTTCAGACGTTTAATGAGGCTCAGAGGTGGCATGAGTGCAATTAAATTCATACATTCATGTGGAGATTAATGTTTTAAATATACAATTTTGAATACAGAAATATTAAATGATTTAAATAACTGAAATTATACGCTAAAAATGAAACTAAATCCGCCAGCAGGTGGCGGCAAGTCACTAATTTTATCACTGAATCATTCATTCAATTGATTCGTTCTAATGGCTCATTCATTCAGGAATGAAGCGAATGAAGTGACTGTCTTTATGAATGGGTAATCATGAATCACTGACTCACTAGATTTTTTTCAAATACATACTTTCATTGAATGAATTAAACACAGCTGTGTTTGCTTTTAGATAAGGCAGCGGTTGAGCTGTTACTATATTTGGAACTATTTTCGTTGAAGAAATAGAGCAAAATAAGGCAGTACTTGAACTTGAACTATTGAACTGTTGTATTAAATCAATATCACATTTGCAAACTCCCTTAATAACTATTAAAAGTTGTCACTCTCCTTATCGCGATCTGTGGAAATGAGAAAATGAGAAAATGAGAGCGCGCGAGCGAGTTCTCAAGACTCAAAAGCACTTGCAAATGATACGTTACGTCATCGTGTTATAAGCACGGAACCTGCGGGAATGAGTAGAATTGTTATTAATAGCCGCAATCCCGCGCTGAAATTCAAGTTATGCTCTGTGTTCTCTGCTAATATCCCAACTGTAAATGATGCGAGCAGCATCACTATGTTGTCACTGAGAAGCTGCAGCCGTGGCGGGGATGATTTTTGGTGTGCTGGTGCAGAACAACAACAACAATGCGCTGCATGTTTCTTTTCCAAAAGAACACACATTTTCCACATTTTTTCCAATTGATGGAAATCAGTCACAGACTCGCTGCAATTAATGGAAATCCGTCGTAGCGACTGAGAACTTTAATCCCTG